AGATGTTGTGGAGACAGGAAATATAAGTGAGTTTAAAAGAAAGTTTGATAAGTATATGAATAATAATGGCTGGCTGTAATATCTGTTTTTAATTTATTTATTAATAGTTTTAGTTTAGTTTAAAGAATAGGACAGCTGAGATGGACCAATAGGTCCCATGTTGTCCCAAAACATTGTTATGCTATTATGTTAATATGATTTTTAAATTCTTAAAAATTGTCAGTTCATTTCAAATGTTAATCTTATTTAGACTAAAAACTGTTTAGCTTAATTTAATTAAAATTTTAGAAGTTTCATTTAAAAACATTCTGATCCATAATTTAGTTTCTCAGATTTAATCAATCAAATTTAGAAATAATTTTTTCTACATTTTCCAGATTTGGTAAGCGATGTGTCAAATGCTACTGACCATTGCAAACACTGCATGATGTTGATTACAGATTACCTAATAATACTATAAATTCCTACAATCCAGAATTTTGATACACACCTTCTTTTGGCCTCCTCTTTTTCTGTTTGGTCCATAGCAGTATCCACACAATTAGTTAGCTCTGTCCAATCAGCATGAAGACCACATTTCCAGCCAGTAGAATAACGACTAAATAACCAATACTTTGCTTGAGAATCAGGTCTATAACACTTGCATTTTTTTTGCCCTCTCTTACATTTGCAAGGTTTTTCTAAGTCTAAGTCTCGAACTAGATGTTTACCAAAGGTTGTTCCACCAGTTTTCTGAATATGTAAAAAAACAATTACATCTGACCCCTTGATATCAAATTCAAAATCGTCTTTAATCATTTCATCAAATGATAATTTATTTTTAAATCCGGATTCTGATATTTGAGAATCTGATGGAAGAGACAAAAATGAAAGTGGTTTTCCCATATTTTCAGCCATGAGATGTTTCAAACCTATTTTTCGCCAACTTGGATACTTCTGAGAGTCTGCGTGTAGATTAAATGAGCATATTGTTTCTGGGCATAAGTAGACAAGTAAAATTCCACATGTTGTTAGAACAAAGCAAAGGATTAAAACGATCTTCAATACAGTCTTTTTCCGTAAATACTCCATCCCACAGATTCAATAAATAATGGCTTGAGACTGAGTTGACTTAGGAAACATATACATAACTTATAACCTAACTCTACCGCAGTTGCTTAATAAGAAATTCTTAAATATTTATAATAAAGTATTTTAATTGAACAGCTGGTGGAACAATGCTCCAAAATATTGTTACACTGCGTTTTTTAGTGGGTATTATAAAAGTCTCAGAAAAAAGTGAGTTAACCTACTCTAGTTCAACTCACTTCAGGTGACGACTTAAGTCACATAAATAGTACTAGTATTAGTAATTCTACTATTTTTGATTAGTTATTTTCACTTAAAATTTAAACGATATTAAATTTCATTTCAAAATTCTTACTCTTCGTTTATTACTGTTTGGCCTTTCTTATTGTTTTGGTGAAACTTTTAGTTTTAATTTTGTTTATTCAAATTATTGTACGACTTTGTGAAAAAATAATTGGTAACTTCCAAGAAAAGTATCTATACTATCAAATATCTAAAATTAATGATATTATCAATTCCAGGTAAGCCTAACTCTAACACAAAACGATTTCCACACCCACATTAGTAATTAAAAAACATTAACTTCGCTAAAGACTAACGTCGACTATGCAAAAATTAGCTTGGAGAATTAACACTACATTTGATACCAATATACAGCGGCGCCCTCATACAGCAGTTAAAACTATTGTCGATATGTTGTTATACGATTAAAAGCTTTTCTTATGTACCCGTATATATTATGTATATATATATATATATATATATGTATATATGACGGTCTAATTATTTTTCTCAAACTTAAATAAAACGAATACAAGCTTATCAAATGAGCTAAAATAAATTAGAAAGTATAAGCTACAACAGTAGAATCAAGCAATTTTTAATATAATTTTTAATTACTGTTTTTCTGGCAGTGATAACATTCCTGGATTAAAGCATTTGTACATTAAATTTATTGCAACGCTACTATAAGACACTTTGTCACTGAAGTAATGGGGAAAAAAATTGTTGCTTACAATATTTTTTATTTTTGAAAATATCGACATACAAACAATAAACGTGCTATCGAAGGCTTTTGTTTTGATCTTGTTCATCTTAATTTTCAGTTCAATTGGGCCCGGCATGACCAGGTGGTTAGGGCGCTTGACTCCTAAACTGATAGTCGCGGGTTCGAATCTCCGTCCCACTAAACATGTTCGCCCCTTTCAGCCGTGGGGGCGTTATAATGTTACGATCAATCCTACTATTCATTAATAAAACAATAGTTCAAGAGTTGGCTTCGGGTGGAGATGACTAGCTGCCTTCCCTCTCGTCTTTCACTATCAAATTAGAGACGGCTAGCGCAAATATCCCTCGTGTAGCTTCGCGCGAAATTCAAAATGAACACTATAAGAGATAAAACTCTTCTAAACTTTACAGATTATATAAGCTACACTAACATGAAGTTAAGGCGGTTCATTTAACTATTATATGTGATGTACGGTTTTTGGAGGGTGATTAATAAAAGTGTTCCAAAACGCGACATTAATTTCTTGACGACCTAATACTACGGATTAACATTGGGAGTAAATACAGCGAATGTTTTAGAAATTGGTTTCTACGACATACAATTTCTTTTAGTTGTTTTTTTTTTTCATCTAACGTCCAGATTGACTGCCAGTAAATATAATGAGTTATTACATCAAAGTTATGTGTAATGCTAATATGACAAATGACTGTTTGAGGTTAACAGAGTTAGTGGAAGAATTTGAAAAGTGTTAAACGTTTTCTTTCATCAAATCCATTATCGGCAACATAATTGACTCTATATTCTAAAGCACTTTACTAAGTTATGAAGAAGTAACCTACTAGGAAATAAGGAGTATGGTATGTGGAGATAATAACCAGTCTTTATCTTCCAGCGAAATGATTTCATAAAAACAATTTACAAAAATTATATAAGATTTTAGATCATACCACCTGGACATCCTAATTCAAGAGAGTTAACAGGATGTTGATGAAACATGAAATATACAGATGAAAAGTGTAGAAATGCTGACATAGAATCCCAGTGGTGGGACCGAAAGCAGCGGAATTTGATGCTATAAGAAGAAAAAATGTTCTTGCGACAGACATTGCTGTTTATTGAAATATTTATCGGGTAGAAGAGACAACTGTCAGGGAAGTCCATCCCGTCAATGGTTGCAAGGAATCAAATTGAGGTCATATTGTCACAGTTGTCTGCAGCCTTACTGGATTAATATGGTTTTGATGCTACTCCAACCATGACGAAAAATCCTTTCTGAGGGCCTTCTTAAAACTTATGTAAGGAGTCTCTCAGGAGCTCTCTCTCCGTCTGTTATCTAGTCTTCCTCCAGTTACAATGGCTTTAGTACGACAGAAAAGCATTTTATGAGTACTGAAGTGCTTAATATAAGCTCAAAAATAAATAATTACAATTAATTACAAACTTTTTGTTCAAAAAAATTACATAAAGCTACTCAAGGGCTATCTGTCCATAATTTTGAAATGATAGACTAGAGGGAAGGCAGTTAGTCAACAGATTCCACTGCCAACTCTTGTCTGACCAAATAGTATGATTTGACTATCACCATTATAACACATCCATGGTTCTAAAGCGTGGAGTATTTTGGGGGGAGCAGTAAAGGAATGCAAACAATGGATCAGCATCTCCAATGTCTGACATGCTAACTACTAAGCTACTCTCCCTCCAATATTATTGTCAAAAGAAAAAAGTTACACAGTATGCTAAAATATAATATTTCCCTTTTTCTAAAGTTTGGATCATCACAACCATTTGTAAGGTACAATGGCATATTGTTTATTAGACATTTGAGAGTTTGGCCTTGATGGAGGTTTAATTTCTCCCAAGCTTTCTTTAATACATCTGTATTTAAATAAGAAAATAAATTTTGGCAGCTATGAATCAATGGTTGTGTGTGTTTGATACTGTGATTTAGCAAATAAAACAACCATCAATAAAGTGGAGTCCTATGTTTGGACAAATTGTGACTGAAACATGTCCAAAGTTCAGAATAATTATGTTAGAAAGGGTTGATAATTACTTTTGCCTTTACATTCTACTCCCATTCTACATAGTGCACATGAATGGAGGACCAGTGTCACCTACACCAGGAGAACACCACCACCCTACTCTCAAATGAACATAGCCGTATATTTATTTATTCGAGTAGGATCACATTCAGGAGGATATCTCCATGGTCTACTACCCCCAGTGACTTAAAACTGAAAGCGACAAGGACTCCCATACTCCAATTGAAGAACAAGGGGGAATAAAACACAGTGGAGAGTCCAGAGGAATGCCAACACTAGAGACAGTGCAACAAGTGACCACAAAAACCTTATTTTGTAAAGCAGATTGCCTCTGATTTATTCAAGCTAAGAGATGGCAAAGATGGGTAGCTATCCCTTTCTGTTTTACCCATGGGTTAGTATGGTCCAGGTCAAGCATACTTATGAAGCAAAAAATATCATGAGGGAAAGACCTACGAGCAATCTTGTGGAACACCTCATCTCAACAATATGTGTTATAAGCCATGGGAATATTGTATTTTATGATAGCAGCATAGCCATACAGTGTGGATTTGTGATGCATTAAGTATTCCTGGACAATGAACCCACAGAACAGGATCCAAACAGTAAAAAATCCATGCCCCTGAAAGAAAGAAATACGTATATAAAAAATAACTTACCCAGTCACAGTATCACAGAATGATGGCAATAGGCGGAAGATTGTACCACAACAAGGAAGAAACCACCACTAAATGCAAATAGTGGGAGATGAATGTATGAGTAGTAGCCTACAAGTCTGCTTGAAGAATTTCCTCCAATAGTTGATGGAGGTGAGATGCCAGGGAAAATGTAAGGTGCTTGATCTGATGTAACGACACCTGAAACAAATTTTAGGAAGAAGAAGACAGGGAGGAATAAGCCAATCAAATCAAAATCTGAATCCAATTGGTGACTGTTGAAAGAGGGTCACAAACAGAGGAATGTTGCCAGAGGAACAAAAAGCAGGAACGAGAACCATAAAAGGAAGCTATGCTGGAAATATAACAACGAAGAGCACATATGGGACAGGTAAGAGATGGAAGGAAGAGAAATCGGTGAGAAGGAAGAATTATCTTCACAAGATGCTGAAGTCTTGGGAAGGAAAGACTAATCCAGATAAAGGAGAACATATGTGGAATGGTAGAGTGCAGGAGACATCAACAGCAAATAGAGGAGTAGGAAGTAGGTCTTAAGGGACAAGTGAAACAAAGAATAGGAGGACAAGGATTCAAAGAGAAGTAAAGTAAGTGAAGAACCACATTTAAATCCCAATCTGGAAAGACTGCCCAACAAGGAGGTCTACTAATCCATAAGGAATATTACAACAAGGAGAGGTAAACACAAGATGTTACCCAGAAAAATGGAAGGTGTGTGTTAAAGCTGCTCAATATCCAATGATGAACAAGACTGAAGTCCCATGATTGAACAGCCAAGTGAGGAAATTGGTAATAAGAGAAATTACAGGTCAAGAAGAGCAAAAACCTCGACGTAATGACCAACAGTAGAAGACTTTCCATTTATATTGATAAATCGTCACTGAGGAAGTACAAATAGAATGAGCTAAAATGGAAGTGACCCAACGAGACAATCCAGATCTTCTTGCCTAGGTCCTAATAAATGCCAGGCATGAAAGTAGAGATTAGGAAGGACAGGATGAAATACCGGTGACCAAGGTTGACATAGTCAAGGAAACCAGGGTTGTGCCAGCCAGTAATGAGCAATCAGAAGAACCTGACACAGAGTGGCATGGATGATAAAAATCACCCTGGGAAGAAATTTGATGCGAAGATAAACATAAAGATATCAGTCAATCCAATCCTGGCTGAATGCATCGACAGCCAAGGCTTGTGGATGAGGAACCGGCAGTAATTTGGCATTGAGAAAGGTGGCAGATGAGGCATACCTCTCTGTGAACGTTGCCACCTGAAAACACGAGGATCAAGGGACCACTCCCTGGGATATATTTTAATTAGTCTGGAAAGATTATCCACCACAAGGTTGAAAACACCCAGAACCTGACATGCCAGGAGATGTATCCTTAGTGTGTGGGCCCAAAAAATTACAGTTGATAGAAGCTACCACTGTAGAATTATCAGAATTGATCAGGACAATTTGATTACTAACTAGAGAAAGAAATCATTCCAAAGCCCACTGTACTGCCAGAAGCTTGAAGGTGTTGATATGATAAGACCAGTCAATGACCACAGCCTGGAAGCCTTCTGCTGATCAACCTCCCATACACTACCAAGTTGGGAACATCAGTGAAGAGATACAAATTTGGGCAAGGAGGAAAAAATAGTACAGTCAACGATGTGTAGGCCTTGTTCAACCTCCAATGTAGAGCATCACTGAGGGAAGGAGGAAGGGATATGGGAAAATCCAAGGGATCACGAGGAAGATTCTGTTGGTCGTGCAGAGTCCACTGAAGAGACCCCATATGTGCCCAACCAAAGGGGATAAGAGCTTCCATAGAAGCCCATATTCTCAAAAATGAAAGAACCTTATGAGCAGTAAGGGTATAGAGAAATGAAAGTTCCATCAAATAAGAGTCGAACAGAAGGTTGGTCTTGACTGAGGTGTGAATTGAAAAAACTCCCCAATTGGACAAGATATTGGGTGGAAGACAGGAAAGACTTCTCCAACTTGCTAATCCAACCCACTACATAAAGAAAGAAACGAGTGTGACAAGAAGACTCCATTTCGAAATGAGCTAACAGAAGCCAGTTGTCCATGTAATGGTGTAAGTGCAACCCCCGATCGTGTAAAAGTCAGGCAAAAGCTTTGACTACCCCACAAAAGACATACGAAGCCAAAACAAGCCCAAATGGCAACGTGCAAAACTGGTACACAACTCTGTGATGGACAAACCAAAGATAGCATCTGCACCAATGAAAAATAGGAATGTGTAGATAAGCATGCAAGACGTCTACCTTGGTCATCCACAATACCAGAGAGAAAGTTTACCATAGTATGAGAAAAACTCCTTTATAAAACTAGGAAAATCCAGAAATTGATTGAGGTGGGTCAGATTGATCATAGGATGCCAGTCCCCAGTTTTCTTTGGTTCCAAAAAGCCTGGGGAAGGATGGCTGACAGGCTCAATAGCTGTCTAATTTGAAGAGTGTGTACTGCCTTGGACAGATATTGACTGATAATAGGACCCAGAGGAAAGAGAAATGATATGGGTATGGGAGACAACAGGGGTGGGAAAAATAAATGGATGACAAGACTTGAAGAACCCAATAATCAGTAATGAATTCCCATCATATGTGAACAAAATTGGTCAAATGAGCCCCCTATGGACCAGAATCCACAGCATAGTCATCGGTACTGCTGGCAATGGTGAGATTACATCGATAAAAATGATGAACAGAGGAACCCCAAGTGGGAGGAACAAGTAAAGGACAGGAGGGTGTCAGACATGGAACAGGAACAGGGGTTTGCAAGGACTCAGGTTGAGAAAAACAAGCAATCAAGGACGAAAGGGTCAAACATTGCCTCACAGATTCCAAAGTGTCAGGAATATCCCCTCAAACAAACCATTCGAAAAATGAAATCATCCACAAGTCCAGAAGGTAAGTTGATGGAAAACAAACCTGGAAAAAGACAGCATCTCTCCCAAGAGCAAAGAAACCATTTGTGAAAAGAAAGAGAGCCGTGGAGGACAATCGTGTCAATGTACAGGTAATGAGGGAAAAGGTATCCATAAAAAATCCCTCAGATAAGCAGTGGAATGCCTCAGAAAGGAGGTGTATGGTGGACAAATACTGTAGGAGAGTCATAAGGGCATGAAGAAGATGGAAAAAATGGACAGGACTGTCATGATCAGCCCCCAAACTGGCAGGAGTGATTCTAACTGTTTTCTAAAAACTGAAATCTAACTGATTCTAATTTGCCTAATAGTAACCCAAGGTGTGCCTTTGGGATACTCTTGTTCATATTAACTTTACTAAGTATGCTCTACCTGAAACTTCACCTAGTTCTTTTCACTGCAACCACCAAGTTGTGTAACTTGTCAACACACGATTTTTAGTGACATTTCCCAAAAATAGTTTTTTTATATTAAAAATACGTTTACATGTTTATCAGAGTCCATTATAAACTGCATTGTTTGTGACCTTTGTAACTTGCTATACATTGGTGAGACTGGTCGCAAAATCAGTGACAGATTTTGTGAACACAGATGAGACATATTAAATCATAATCTTCACTTACCAGTCTCAAGACACTTTTTACACAACAAACATAACTTGTCACATTTCAGACTTGTTGTTCTATGATCTACACCAACTATCCATTATTTGCATGAATGTGAAGAATGACGCCATATTTAGATATTTATTTATTTGTACTCTAGGTACAAGTTCTCAACTTCGTTTAAACAAGAAATGTTTTTTTGTAACTTTACTTTTGATATCTTTCAACTTTTAGCACTATTGCTCTTCACACACCAACTTCATATTTATTTACATCTTTTCCTTGTGCTTCTATTTCATTTATACCACTTCTTTACAACATTTGATTTGCCAGTATTGTAACATTTGTTCATTGATATTCGAATGTCTTCTGTATATACAAATTTAACGGACATCACTTAAACAAAGAATTAGGCTCGAAACATTGGGTATTACCATTGTATCCATTTTTATTTTCTTTTTGTAATTATATATTTCTCTTAATCAAGTTAATTGCTCAGCTGTAATTACAGCTAATTTTGTCAAGAAACTTCATGCTTTAAAAACAAGAAAACTATGTAACTTAATCTGAGAAATTACATCTTTCTAACATCTGAAAAACTGTGGAAGCAAACTACCCAAAACTTTAATTTGTAACATACTAAATAGCAACAATAAGATATCTTAGTCTTCAAAAGAATAAATTGAAATGTTTGAAATTTAAAATTTTTCTCATTAGAGAAAAATCAATGAAATAGATAAATAAAAGTATGTTCATTACACTCACTTTTAATTACCAATAGATTATATAATAGTACAAATTATATTTTTTCAGCATTGAATGCATAATTGATGGAGTGTTTTCAAAAAGTTACATCATTAATGATCTTCACTTAATATCAAATGTGATTATCTTCAAATACAAATTGATTTTCTGCATAAATTTTATTCAATAAC